CTGTCCTTCAATTGGAGAAAACTCCCTCACGCGCCCCCGCGGGCGCGGTAAAAAGGAGGTGCGGCATTCATTTTCTTCTTTCCTTTAAAGCCTGCAGTATATCCAATTAATTTATAACATTCTTTCTTTGTATGTCCCTTTATTTTGCAATAGTCACACTGAACATTCCAATTCCTCTTTGGCCTTTGGTAGTTCTGGTACACATCACTCTACCAACTAGAAGAGCTACAGATTCATTTCCATCCCCTGTTATCATGGTGTTAGCCAATGACCTCTGACTTTTCCTCAACTAGCATTAAGTAAACCTTATTTATGTTTTGTGTGGGACTAATCATCAGAATTTGACTCCTAGCATGATCATAGCTCTCATTTAGCCCCATCAAAAATTGCAAAACTTTCTGCTTTTGCATAAATTCAATGAAATTCTTAGACCTTGCACAGTCACATGTAGGTAGTACTATGTTGTCAAATTCGTCCCAGCGGTTGCGCGATTTGGAAAAATATACTAACACAATATATGTCCCTTGAGTGATTATTATCATTGCTTTATGCAACTAATAGACTCGTAAAGTATTCACTTTGTCAAATCGCTCCCTCAAATCTTTCCAAACTGCCCTAGCATTTTTAGCATACACTATCCCTGAGCTCGTGATCCATCCTAAGATAATGGCATTACAACGATCCCATTGATGACCTAGTTCTCTATCAAAATCCCATTTTTTCATAGTCCTGTCGACTAACCCTAGCTTGTTCTTCCCAAGAAATTGGATTTCCATCGCTTTACTCCATGTGGTGTAATTATTTGAACCAGTCAGCTGGATCGATATTATCAAAACTTTCGTCGTATCCGAAGGATGAAGATACAGTGGATGATTTTAATCCAAATTTGTCTTTGTCGCTATTGTAGAGCTCTCAATTTCTGCAATTCAACGTAGATCGAACAAGATCTTCCAAAATCAATAATGTACACTCGCAATCGCGATTGGAAGCTCTGATACCATGTGAATTTAGGAATAATTAACGAACCCTAATCGGCAGAGGAGAATTGGAGATAAGAGTTTAGAGAGAGAGAGATATTGTATAAGAGAAATAATTTCATATATGAGAGTTAGTTTGTACAATGCATATATAAAGAACAACTTTTAACTAACTAACTAACTAACTAACTAATTTAATTAACTAATTGACTTTTATAATCTAGAACTTTCTACTCAGCTATATACATATCTAATATGTCACTGCATTCTCATTATCTATAATAATTTTTCACGTATAACAATAATATTTGTCTTTATAACAGTAAGCTCTTTATAAAATTACCCCTCTATAATAGCAATATAAAATTTCTAAGATTACGTATGAATCTAACTACTTCGACTCAATATTTTAAAATTTTAAATGATAAAAAATATTATCTTACTTCCATAATCAATATTTCATTTAAATTTCATTAATATTTTCGTTTCATTACACAAAAGTTTAAATCTTTACTTATTTGGTTATGAATTTATAAATAACATATTAGCTTTCTTTAATACTACTTAATAAAATATTCATATTTTTTGAGATTTTAAAGTTGAATAATTTTTTGTTTTTATATGTATCATCAGAAAAAGGGGGAAAATAATTTTTGAATAATTTGTATTTATAACAGCCACATAATATCTAAACGTCAAATGTTATTATAGGTGTATAATAGTCGATTACGATAAAAGGCCAAAAAAATAGTAGAGCAAACAATATTATTATAAAAAAGTTTGACTATACTTGATTTCTGATTTTGTTGAATTTTATGACAATTGTCTCTTCTTGATTAGAGTAATTAATTATGAAGTTGTAGTAATATTTAATGCAGGAATACCAAGAAATATTCCCAAATGAGTGTTGTATGGACGGAGGACTCTTATTTGTTTTTAGTACAAAACAAAGAAAAAGAGAAGTAGGACTGTTGAAGTACAAAAAGTCCAATTAGCAGTCAGAGCCAAAACTCAAAATTAACACCTTTTCTCCTATTGAAATTTCTTATCAAATTGGGCTTTGCAAAGTAGTAGTAGGATAATTCATAATTGGGTCCCAAAACCTAATCATCATAACTCATCCCATATCATATATCCACAACCCCTATTCCCTTAGCATCATATAACAAAAGTAAAAAATGGAGAACAAAGCAAACATGGTGGCATCACTTATGTCAGTGAAACAAAAATCTGGCAAAACATTTAGTCAAATAGCAGAAGAAACAGGTCTCACAAATGTGTATGTTGCTCAGCTTTTGAGACGTCAAGCTCAGCTCAAACCTGAAACTGCTCCAAAGCTTAAGGCTGCACTTCCCTTATTATCTGATGAACAACTTCATGATATGATGGAGGCACCCTTGAGGTCTTATGACCCTAACTTAATTCAAGACCCCACTGTTTACAGGTTACCCATTTCACCCATTTCTTGATTTTTTTAATTTTAATTTTATATAAAGATTTGATCGTTTGTTGGCTGCCTGCGTAAAACTAGTCAATTTTATGATGAATCCTCACATTAACCCCCAGCTTGTTTGGGACTGAAGTGATGTTATTTTTGTATAAATATTTGATTTTTATGGTGTATGGTAGTTGATAGAGCTAGAGTAAGATGAGGAATAGGAAAAAGACTTGAAATTCTTGTTAACTTTGATTCACGACTCACTTTTTACAAGTGGCCCACTTTACCCATTTCTTGATTTTTTATTTTATTTTTATATAAAAATTTGATCTTTGGTTGGCAGCCCGCATAAAACTAGTCAATTTCTGGTGAATACTCGCATTACCCCCGACTTGTTTGGCATTGAGGCGTTGTTGTTAATGTATAAAGATTTGATCTTTATGGTGTTTGGTAGTTGATAGAATTGGAGGAAGATGATGGATAGGAAAAACCATGACATTCTTGTTAACTTTACTTGGTTCAAGACTCATTGTTTACAGGTGGCCCATTTTACCCATTTCTTGATTTTTTTAATTTTCTTATATAAACTTTATTGCAAGAAATGCCTGAAGTTCAGATTTCAAGTATCAATAGAATAAGAGATTTTGTCGTTATCGAACTCTAAGCAATGGCAAATAAATATAAATAAAAAACGAAAGGGAGGAAATCGTACTAAAATTGGAACTAAATGATCTTGTTTTGTTCCTCGGTTGAAAAGAGATGTTTCTGCAGGTGACCCACTTTACCCATTTCTTGATTTTTGATTTTTGATTTTCTATGGAGGTTTGATCTTGTTGTGGGGTATGGTAGTTGATAGAACTAGAGTAAGATGTGGGATTGGAAGAAAATCTGGAAATTCCTATTAACTTGATTCAAGTATTAAGTAATCCACTTCATTGTATCTTAATTGTTCATTTTCTGGAAAGCTTTAATGTTGCTATAGTGTATGATAGTTGATAGAACTAGAGGAAGATGTGGGATACAGGAAATTGGAGATTCTTATGTAGAGATTGGATGAAAGTTATACTCCTAGTTAGAAAGTGAAACATTCTTGTATAACATTCACATGTCCAGCAGTCAGAGGCGGATCGAAAATATAAGCAGTGCTGCACGTGCACTTATTGCTTTGTTGCTATAGTGTATGATAGTTGATAGAACTAGAGGAAGATGTGGGATACAGGAAATTGGAGATTCTTATGTAGAGATTGGATGAAAGTTATACTCCTAGTTAGAAAGTGAAACATTCTTGTATAACATTCACATGTCCAGCAGTCAGAGGCGGATCGAAAATATAAGCAGTGCAGCACTTATTGCTTTGTGCTCGACTATATACCTTTATATAGAATATATAAAGAAGCTTTTTAAGATTATGTATATATGTTAAGTGGTGTACCCACGGTCTTTAAACCTTGAATCTGCTTTCGCCAGCATCACATAAAGTGTTGTTAATGGAGACACCGGGGCAGGAGAAAACACAGAAGGAACAGAATGTGGGAAAGCTGCTGACTTTCCATTTCATTGTTCCTGTGAAATCATTAGATTATTAGGTAACAACATATATCAGTGCTAATTGCTTAAGTGTTGTGAAGTTGTCAGCGAGACCTTTTGGCAAAGTTTTTTGGAAAGCTTTGTGTAGTTGCATGTCAGACTAAATTCGGCTATTTTGTCTCTTCAACAGATTGAATGAAGCTGTCATGCATTTTGGTGAGAGCATCAAGGAAATTATTAACGAAGAATTTGGCGATGGCATGTAAGTTACTCCACTTAACACATTAATTAAATGCTTGTGCTTATTTTACTGATTCAAAAGAAATTTGGCTATACAATCTTTTCTTGTATGTGCATGTGTTTAGATTCATACTCTGGAAATGCTCTCTGCCTTTAAACTTCAGGAGCGCCAGATCTTGTGAACTCTTATGAATCGCCTCTGACTTGCATAAGTTCATCTCTGGTTTATTGCAAGTCATGTTTCATTAAGAAGCCAGTCAAAGATACATTAGCGTTTGCACGGCGTGTTTAGAGTCAACAAGCTGCTATGCAATAATGTTTTTTAATCGCTGGATAATGAACTAGATAACAAGGGGATTATAATCCCTTCTTCCTTATCTGCCATTTGTTTAGACTTTAGTGTTTTTTGCTAAGGGGATTGGGAATGATATCCTATTCCTTAGGATGAAAAATAACCTCCCTCTAGCACTCACCCGCCAGTATGCTTTCTTCTAAACCCGCCTCATCCCCATTACCCTCTACCCGATTGAATGGATTAATATTGAAAAAGAAAAGTACAACTGCAATTTCACAGCTAACTGATGAGTCAAATGTAAGAAAAGTTTTTTACGGCTCGTCCACCTTGCCTTTATTAATCATCAACCAATGCCCTTAGTGTATTCTCCTTCATAATCTTATTATAATCCTGTGGTCTATATAGTGACTTTATCTTGTCTGGTGAATCAAACTACCTCTCTATATAACTAGATTGTGTATACAACTAGCATGAACTATTCATCTCTTCTGCATACATGTTGTGTGTAAACAGTAAGAGATTATAATTGGCTAGCAATTTATAAAAGATAAACAAGAGCAGAGGATATTATGAGTCATGGCCACATTACGAAGGGAGGAGCTAAAAGAAATTCTACTGTCTATTTCTGTTTAGTTTGATAGCATGAATCTTAAAGAACTAACCATTAACACACTCTTTATTTGGCTGCATTGACTTATCTTGTTTTAACCATCTTCAATTCTGAGTCATTGACATACTTTGTCTAGTTTCTGTTAGCTAAATGGGAAACTATTATCGGGCTTGAGGTGTTGTATTGCTCTAGGAGTGTATTCATTCTGTAGCTCTAATTTTCTTAGACCATGCCCTAGTAATGCTTATCTCAATTCTTTGGTTCTTTATGGTGATACACAACCAAAATGGAGTGTCCAGTTCCACAGATATTTTAACAATTTACTCTACATAATTCAAGCTATATATGTTTTTTTTTGGATAAGGATCTATATGTGTATGTTCCATGAGATTTTATGTTACAGTTAATTGTTAAACACATGCAAGCGCACTTTCACTAGGCTTCCTGCACATGATATATTTGTATTTATTTGATACATGAGATTTTTTACTTATGACTGTTGATGTTTAGCATGTCAGCTATAGACTTTTTCTGCTCAGTTGACAAAGTCAAAGGTGTGGATGGGAAGGATCGTGTTGTTGTGACTTTTGACGGAAAGTATCTGCCACACACTGAGCAGGTTAGTTTCCTTTTACATTTCATAATTGTAAAGTTTGTTTCTCCAAATTATTGTCTACAGAAACGACCAATCACTAGGCCCTTCTAGTTCCTGCCCCACTCACCTCCCACCCACAAAGTACGAGAAAATAGAAGATTCATCTTATGTAGAGATCTTGATTTTTTGTTTGTTTGATCTGATTATAAAGGCTTCTGGACCTGCATATTCTGTATGAGCCAGCACTACAAAGTGGTGCTTAATTTCGGTGCTGAGTGTCTGATCTCAATTGTGCTTTAGTTAACTAATCAGAGAGCTCGTCGCTGCAGCAATCAATAGAATAAAATGCTTTCCTCACATCCTTTTCAAAAGTTTTAGCATTTCTTCTTCTGTCTGAACTTTTTTACAGTTTTGAAAAAACTGTCCGTATTGTAAATTTCAAGAAGTTACATAGTTGATATCAAACGGATATTAAAGTTCAAATGTGGGGTAATATGTTCACATAAATCAGATATCATCAATAAGTTGCAACAGCCAAAATAAATTTCTTATCAGCTAATCTTGCAAAATACAAGTCAAAGCTTCATGGTAATACTCAAATCTTCATAGGAAGGCAAAGTGTGCTGTGTGATATCGTACGACTGGAGGGACTTGTCTGTTTAAACAACTGGTGGGATGTTAATTAACAGCTTGGTTGGATGGCTATTATGTATCGTCTCATAATGGTATAGTATTGTATTGTATTGTACTGTATCTTTTTGATGTATACAATGTTTGTATAGATTGTATTGTCGTCGTTTCATGATGTCATGCACCAACAATATAAAGAATAAACTTGCAATATTATAAAGAAAAAGTAAGGTACGAGGTAAAATTATTATAGAAAAGATAGGGTAAAGGATAAAATAGGATTATTTTTGATAATAAAGAAAGGCAAGATGAGAGAAAAAAAAAGGTAACGACGCGACCATTCCAAATCGGTCGTATTATAAAGTGGCACTTTTTTTTGCTACGTAACGGCGGATTTAACGATACGATATAACAAAATTTAAGTTACAATCAAAATAAATATTGTATTTAAAGTAGCAATACGATATAATACAACAAGTAACAACCATACAAACGAGCTGTAAAAAGGTGTATAGAGTCAATTCTTAACATTTCTATATTCAATGTGTAGCTCTGGGATCATCTGAACAGATTTTGCGTGATCAAGTCACTGCCAAACGCAGTTATATCAAATCTGATTGATTCTGTAGTTTGGTTTTGTAGCACATTGTCTGTGATATAATCTGCTTAACACTATTTTCTTTTCTTTCCAGAAATCTGAGCATATGGTGTCAAGGTTCATGCGGAAGGAATAAACGTAGTTAGTATTAGCAGTTCGTGTCAAGCTGTCGATCTTTTTCACCAATAAACATTGATTATGTATTTATACTGAATTTCTTTTCTTTTCTACTCGTCAATGTTCTCATCTTGGGAGGGGAGCATTGGCGTAGCTAGTAAAGTTGCTGTCATGTAACCAAGAGGACACGGGTTCGAGCCGTGGAAACAACCTCTTGCAGAAATGCACGGTAAGGCTGCGTCCGGCCCTTCCCTGGATCCCGCGCATAGCGGGAGCTTAGTGCACCGGGCTGCCGTTGTTCTCATCTTGTCTGAATAATAGTCACTCGTGTTAGTCTGAGTTTTGAATTGCCAAATGCAAATAGTATATGGTATTTATATGTATGTATTTGAGTTGCCAAAATTTGATAATTTTTATGTATGTGTTTGGGTTGCCAAATATTATGTTCAGCATGTATATGTGTTTGATGAATGAAAAATCAATGCATTGTTTTTTTGTGTACATAATGTGATGATCCGCCATGTCATCATACCACATAGGCGTCATTTGGCATATATTAATGACATGTGGAATCTTACATAAGAAGAAGGCTAGCATTTGTGAGAAGATTTTAGAGAATTATGAACATTTCCTTAGGAAGAACCTAGATCTTTATGGATTTGCTAGGAAAGTTCTTGGAATCTTCTAGGCTTGTAGAGAATTTTAGAGAAAGCTCTTATCTTGTAAATATTAAGGACTTGTGTAATAATTAATATTTACACACTATCCCCTAGGAGACTAGTATATAAAGGGGGCCATTCATTGTAATTCACCAAGCAAACAATTCAAGTTCTCTCTAATACAAAGCTTCCTTTAACAATTCTCGTGTGTTCTTTCTTCCATTCTCTTAGCGATCTTGAGTGTAGTAAGGCTGACTTGACATAACAAGAACGTGAGCAAGTTGTGCAAGATCATGAGCGAGTTGTCAAGTGTCGCACGCGTACTTAGTTAACAACTAAGGACGTGACAAAGTGGTATCAGAGCAAAGGTTTCAACTAAGGGAATGGCGAACGACGGAGAAATTAATGCTACCAACACCCAAGCCAACGTCATTCAGGATGCTGCTGGCAAGAGCGGCCGTAGCAAAAAGAGAAATGTCACCAACAAGAGCCAGGAGGTGTCACCTGAGGTTGTGTCAAACGAAGAGCTTACATCCCAAGAACCATCTGCCATTAAGGCGAGCGAGGATGAATTGGAGGTCCTTCTAGAGGACGCCTCGCTCGGTAAAGAGTGGGTGATGAAGATGAACGCGGGGATGGACACCGTGGAGATCTTTGGCCTGCACTTGGGGAAGGTGGAAGGCACCGTTAGCGTTCTTGAGGGGCACACTCTTGAAGAGATTGAGAGTATCTGAAATGACTTGGAGGGACGTACACATACTGAGATGGAACTAAGGCAAACCATCACTGCCTTAGAGTGCATACTCATGGAGGCTTTAAGTGCTATCAATGCTATGAAGGCAAAGATAGAGTCACTCGAGGAGCATGTCAATGCTGGCGTGACCGAGGCAGCCAACAATGTTGTGGTGACGAGGGAGGCCAAGATCGAGGCTCCCAAACCCCCGGTGTTCAAAGGTGTTCGTGATGCTCAAGAAGTGGAAAACTTCCTTTGGCACTTGGAGAACTACTTTAGGCATGACAAAATGAGGGACGACGAGGCCAAGATCAACATTGCGGTATTGTACCTCTCAGAAACTGCCATGCTATGGTGGAGAAGGAAGATGGTCGGCGTGGATAAAGGTCTATGTACTATTAGCACATGAGATCAGTTCGAAGCGGAGTTCAAGCGACAGTTCTTTCCAAACAATGTCTTGTACGAGGCAAGGCACAAGCTTAGGGAATTGAAGCAAACAAGGAGCATACGTAACTATGTCACGGAGTTCACTACCCTTATGCTTCAAATCCCCAACTTGAACAATGATGACTTGTTGTTCCACTTCATGGACGGGTTGCAAAATTGGGCTAAGTAGGAGTTGCAACGCCGACAAGTCACTGATATAGACCAAGCCATAGTGGAGGTCGAATCATTGATGGATTTCAGGCATGACAAGCACGACAAAGGCAATGGCAAGGAGTCAAAGGTTAACAATGTCAAAGGTGGGGGAGACCGTGGAAAAGGCAAGGAGATACAACAACAATACTCCAAGACTCAAGATCCCAAAAAGTCGAGTGGTCGTCAGGACTACGCCGAAAAGAAGGCACAGGCCGAGAAGAAGGGATGCTACATATAAAGAGGGCCGCACGGCTTCAGGAATTGTCCCGACCTCAAGAGCCTCAGTGCCATGGTCCGTGAACGGAAGAAGCAGCCGCAAGGAGAGAGTTCGGGAACCGCACAATTGGGTATGATCGGATTATGTGGTGCTGTCACAAAGCAAGCTATCCAACCTACCGAGAATGGCAATCAGTACGTGAATCTCACCATCAACAACAAGCCCGCTCGTGCAATGGTGGATACTGGAGCAACTCATAATTTCGTGACTGAGGCTGCCGCAAAGAGACTGGAATTGAAGCTTGCTCCAACAACTCTCACGTCAAGACCGTGAATGTCGAGGTACAAAATGCTCGTGGGGTAGCTAATGGAGTTGGTGTCAAATTGGGAACTTGGAAAGGTATGACAAACTTTACCGTAACCGCTATGGATATCTTTGACATCATACTGGGGCAAGAGTTCTTTAGACATTATCATACTTTGATCGACCCCTACCTCCAACGTCTCTTAGTTACGGAGAGAGAAGGAGTTTGCATGGTACCTACAGTGACTATGCCACACGGACAGATCCAAGCACAACTCTCAATCATTCAGGTTGTCAAGGGGATCAAGAAGGGGGAGCCGGTGTTTGTGGAAACCATTGCAAGTCTAGAGGAAGACAAGAATTTTCAAGAGATAGTGCCACCTTGCATAGAGAAGTTGCTTGAGGAAAACCAAGATGTCATGCCCGAGGAGTTGCCTAAGCACTTGCCGCCTAGGCGAGAGGTGGATCACAAGATTGAGTTAGAGCCAGGGGCTAAGCCACCTGCATTTGCTCCATATCGTATGGCACCGCCTGCGCTAGAGGAGCTCAAGAAACAATTGAAAGAGTTGTTGGATGCTGGTCACATTTTCCCATCAAAGGCACCTGTCGGCACACCAGTATTGTTCCAGAAGAAGAAGGATGGATCGCTGCGTTTGTGCAGAGACTACCGCGCACTTAATAAGGTTACAGTGAAGAATAAGTACACGATCCCACTCATTGCTGACTTGTTCGATAGACTTAGGCAAGCCAAGTACTTTACCAAGGTGGATCTTCGAAAGGGCTACTACCAGGTTCGCATTGCAGAAAGGGATGAGCTAAAGACAACATATGTGACGAGATATGGAGCCTTTGAGTGGTTGGTGATGCCCTTCGCCTTAACCAATGCACCTGCCACATTTTGTACCCTTATGAACAAGATTTTTCATCCCTACCTTGATCAGTTCGTGGTAGTCTATCTATATGACATAGTCATCTACATCAACACCTTGGAGGAACACATAGAGCACTTAAGGAAGGTTTTCCAAGTCTTGCGGGAGAACGGGCTATACATCAAGAGGGAGAAGTGCGAGTTTGCACAATCAAAGGTGCACTTCTTGGGCCATGTAATTAGCAATGGCGAGCTACGCATGAACGAGGCTAAGGTACGTGTTATCCAAGAGTGCGAGGCACCTATAAAGGTAACTGAGTTGAGATCCTTCCTTGGCCTTGTTAACTACTATCGTCGGTTCATCAATGGATACTTAGCAAAGGTCGCACCGTTGACTGAGTTGCTAAAGAAGAACAAGCCATGGGTTTGGACGGAGCATTGTCAAAAGGCGTTTAAATGCCTTAAGGCAGATGTAACAGATGAGCCAGTCTTGGCGTGACCTAACTTTGCCAAGACATTTGAGGTGCACACAGATGCCTCAGACTTCGCCATTGGGGGTGTCCTGATGCAGGATAAGCATCCCATAGCATTTGAGAGCCGTAAGTTAAATGTGACGGAGCGGCGTTACACGGTGCAAGAGAAGGAAATGACTGCCATTGTGCATTGCCTTCGTACATGGAGACATTATCTGCTCGGGTCGAGGGTCGTGGTCAAGACTGATAATGTGGCTACTAGCTACTTTCAGACATAGAAGAAGCTCACACCAAAGCAGGCTAGGTGGCAGGAGTTCTTGGCCGAGTTTGATTATGCGCTGGAGTATAAGCCGGGCAAAGGTAACGTTGTAGCCGACGCCTTGAGCCAGAAAGCCGAGCTTACTGCAATCACTTCAGTGAGATGGGACATTTGGGAGGCTATAAAAGAAGGCATGTGGCATGATCCAGCAGCCAAACAGCTTATCGAGTTAGCCAACAAAGGCAAGACGGGACGGTTTTGGATAGAAGACGGCCTACTACTTACCACAGGTTGGCGGGTCTACGTGCCTAAGTTTGGAGACATTAGACGATGGATCATAAGGGAGAGTCATGACACAATGTAGGCTGGTCATCTAGGTCAACGTCGCACTAAGGCCTTGGTTGAGTCAGTCTACTATTGGCCACACATGCGAGATGACATAGAGTGCTATGTGCAGACTTGTCTTGTCTGTCAACAGGACAAGGTTGAACAACAATAACCCGAAGGAATTTTGGAGCCACTACTAGTTGTAGAGCGTCCATGGGAGAGCGTGACTATGAAATTTATCACTTGCCTACCGAAGTCTGACGGTTATGGTACTATTATGGTGGTCGTGGATAGATTTTCCAAATATGCCACCTTCATGCCCGCCTCACCGGGTTGCATAGCTAAGGAAGCCGCCAAGTTATTCTTTAAGAACGTGGTAAAGTATTGGGGCTTGCTTCACTTTAGTATTATGACTTGTGCGTGTGGTCGGAATTGAATTTCGGGAAGTTCGGAGTTGGTTTGGAATGAAAACTCTCATTTTGGAAGCTTTAAGTTGGAAGAATTAACTAAGGTTTGATTTTTAAGTAAACGACCTCAGAATCGGGATTTGAAGGTTCTAACAGGTTCGTATGATGATTTTGGACTTGGGCGTATGTCAGGATGGGGTTTTAGATGATCCGGGAGCGTTTCAGCGTCTATTGTGAAAGGTTGGCATTTTGAAAGAATTTCATAAATTTGGGTTGAAGTGCATTTCAATGTTATCGATGTCCGTTTGTGATTTTGAGTCTGGGAATAGCTCCGTATGGTAATTTAGGTATTGGGAGCGCATCCAGAAGTAGATTTGGAGGTCTGTAGGATATTTCAGGGTCATTTGGCGAAAGTTGAAAATTTAAAGGTTTTGGAAAAGTTTGACCGGGAGTGTACTTTTTGATATCGGGGTCGGATTGCGATTCAGGAAGTGGGAGTAGGTCCGCAATGTCAATTATGACTTGTGTGCAAAATTTAAGGTCAATCGGAATTGATTTGATAGGTTTCGGG